CTTCTGCTACATAGCATACTCGGATACTTGACTTTATGCTATTTCGATTATCAGCCAACTTGTTTTTTAAAACAATGTGTTTCTTTGCTCTCTCTCTCTCTCATATTTCGCAATCTCTATTCTTAGCTGAGTAATTTTCAAATCCTTAGTTTCACTGTGATCAATCATCACTAATCCAAAATAATTCTTGATAATGTGAACAATATTCTTAGGTAAGTTTTCGTTATTGCTTGATAGAGTGATTGTACAAACATACACACGCACGCATGTACGCACACGCACACTCACTCACACACATACACAAATTTAATTATACATAATTGCTAGCATGTAGCTAAGTGGATGGAAAAGAGTCTTTCCAAAATATTTATTTCCTTTGATTTCAAACTGTGTCAAAATATGATGGTGATGATGAGCTAATCATCTAAGTTTATTTGGCTTATGAAATTTCTCACAAAGATTAATTGGATGCACACGCAAAAAACATTTCATAGCATCAATATTTTTAAATAAAAATAACAACAAATACTACTGATTACTATTTTGAGTAATATTCGAATTTTCAAGTATTGGTTTGGTAGGGTTCTTCTTTGATTATATGGAAGATTTTATCATGAGCTGGGAGTACTGGGCAGATATTTCGTCCTGGTGTAGGACTCTTCAGCAGTACGCACTGCTCACTGGCGACTTGCCCTATTCGAGCAGGTGACCTGGGGTTCTAGTAGGAAGCCGTGACCATTAAGGTACAGCTGATTCAAGATGAGGCAGTAACTCATCACGCGCTATGTTGTGAATTGGCAGAAGTTAAAATTCATGGACTAGCCATTGCATCAGGTCCCAGTGGCTCAGTGGTCTACAAGGACGCGTTGTAACTAGAAGGTCCTGGGTTCAAATACCGATGGCTGTGTGCTGCTGGAGAGTCCCAAACTAGGATGTCCAGTACTCCCCGGCAGATTTTCCAGTGGTTCTCTAACTGTTGTCAGCTCATGATGAAATCCTCCGTGAAATATTCAAATGGCTTAGTCGCCTATGCGGATGTGATTCCTAGCCAGTATTAGTATACCGAAACAAACTATGTTCCAAGGAGAATATAGAGATTCAGGATTTCAAATTTTGGTAACGATGGTGTTATTTATTTTCACGGGATACGTTATACACCTCATACCGACCAACCTTCTTTTACAGGCTTACTAGCAGATAGGTGAAATTCGGGAGGGTGTTGCCCAGGAATTGAGATAAAGACGCCTTGCAAGCGAGTTAGGGTTACGTCCCCGCCTTAAAAGGAGTATTGTATGATATTTTTAATACTAATAATTTGCTTCATTCCAAAGCAGTACTTGTGATACAGAATAGAACTCTCAGCATTTCACTACAGTATTGCATCCAGTTAGTAAATTAACAATAAATAAAGTTCTACATAGATTAAGGGTGATCTCAGTTAGTTTTGACAACAACATATTAGCATGTCGGTAGCAAAGCCAAAATTTAAACAGTGTTTGAAGGTGTTAGAAAAGTAGATGCCAGCATATTTACTGGCGTAAGCGATAGCAAAATGGTCGAGATATACAGAGTGTGAAAGAACGAAACAAGAATGTTTTAAGTAGAGTTTTGTAAGGAAGAGAGAAACAAAACAGCACATAAGAAAAAAAACAAAGAAATGACATCAGTTGGAAAGACGGGATACAGCTGTTGTTCTACTGACTATTTAATAAGTTATAAGTTACACGCCTAAAGCTTTCTTTATCGCACAGAACACGAGCCAAGTAGGGTATAGTTGAGTTTTTGTACTTTCTAGTGCGAGCATATAGTTTTCTATATAGGCTTCAGGTCTGGTCCTGCCTGATGAGATACAAGGGGAGAGTTGTGAATGAAGAGGGTGTTGTGAGTTAGACACATAGAATGGATTTAGTCCATATTTCACATGAGTCCAAGTGCCTGTCGACCAGAGTATTAACAGGCTGGTTAAGTGGCACCCTGTGGCTTACCCTGCTGACAGCCTTTATCATCCTAAGTAATGAGATATAGTCCTTCTTCAGTAGCCAAGGAAAAACTAAGGGGGAACAACAGAGAATAATAGGCAGGATGCAAGAGTTAACGAATCGTAAGAGTAAGGGTTGGGTGATTCCAGAAAGTCTTAACTTCTTGATATAGAAGGTAAGACGGAATATTTTGTTAGAAATCATCAAGATATGGGACGACCAGGAAAGATCACCAGATAGAGTGACGCCTAGGTATTCAATATCCGCCTTGGTTTCTATTTCAGTGCCATCACCTATGTTGCACACCACGTGAGTACTAACCAGTTTGTTTAGGTCAGATTTGTGCCTAAAGGTGAAATTGACTGTTTGACATTTGGAGGGGTTTAAGGTTAGTAGACCGTTTTCCTTGGACCACTCACTGGCTGATTTCTGATAAAAAGCAATTTAGTTTAGAGCAGTCACTTTGACATTTGACAGGCAAAGATGCAGTCAAGTCGTCAGCATATTTGACAAAATTAATGTCATTTGAAGATGATAAGTAAGTCATGTAGAAAGAAAGAAAGAAAGAAAAGAGAAGTGGAGAGAGTAAAGCACCTTGGGGTACACCAGCTTCAGTGAGAACAGCAGAGGAGGATTTACCTTTGTATACAGTGTACTGCATTCTGTTAGAGAAGTAGGAATGCAACCAGTTAGTGACCCAGGACTCAGTTTGTGTCATCGAGAGCTTATTTAGCAAGAGACATCTAGGTACAGAGTCGAATTTGATTATTAGGAAACCAGTTAAATACATTAAGAAGGAGGAGAGAGTCTATGCATATATTTATATAATCGATGAGAGCATGTTTGAATATAATACACTATCAGAGGTATGGTTACGCAAATTCAAAAATGAATATGCATGACTGGCAATTTCAACTACGGGCGATGGCACAGATGACGACGTCAGAGGAAGACTTGGAAAGGCAAGAAAGACCGTCACCACTCTGAAATCAGTTTGCACAAAGAAAAACAAAAATTCGGATTTTCAACACCATCGTTAGTTGTCAGTTATTTCTTATGTATATGGGTCAAAAAATTTGGACTGCACATCATGAAAGTCAGTTTCAACAGGTAGGTCACTTTAAACTCTTATCAACAGTTGCCCCTCCCCCCTCGCTTCATATTGAAGATCAAATGGCCAGAATAAAATTAGCATTAAGAAACTCTGAGAATGAACGACATGAGAACCTATTGCTCAATAGATTAAAATCCCGAAGGAAATAGAGACGGATTAGACATACACTGAGAAGACTGTCGAGTAGCACTAGATTTTTGATGGAAAATGACGAGTGGGTGACATGGAGGAGATCGTGTAAGAAAGAGATGAGAGACTATGGACAATTATTGAGCCAGATAAAGGGAAAAATGGAGACATCCTGTTGAAGCCTTATGTTCCACTCGGAAACCATGGGAATAATCATATATACAGCAGTTATGAAGTAAACTATTCATTATTAAAAGGTGTTTATTCAGTGTAATTGTTTTTTCGTCTAACCTACTACATTAAGAAACACAGACTAACTGGAATCACTCAACCTCTGCTTTCACAATTTGTCAACTCTCGTATCTCACCTATTCTACTTTACTGCTCCCCATTAATCTTTCCTGGGTTACTGAAAAAGGACTATACCATCCTGAGAAGGATGTTGAAGGTAGTTACTACGACCAGTGGTGTAAAACTTCATTCAGCTCGTCACTACATTAGTAGAAAGGCATCTGAATACACGCGAAAAATGGTCTAAAACCATACTCTCTGACCCCCAACACCCCCTCTATTCCCAACTCTCTCCTTGCATTTCATCAGGTAGAACCAGAAATCTGTACAAAATAATATATGCTCGTACAACCAAGTATAGGAACTCAACGATACCATATTTGGCCAGCCCGTGTTCTAAGTGACAGAGACAATGTTAAATGTGAAACCTATGACTTGCTTTGTTGTGACTAACATAATTTTGGCCCTTTTATTTCCCCTTAAACTCTGTAGTGAACAACCTTCTTAAACATACTTAGCTACCTAAAAATTATTAACATTGGCTTACTTTTTTATTGTTTATTCTATTCCTTCTTTTGTATATCTACTGGTCCCGACTACATTATCCCTATGAGTATTACAAAACTGTCCTGTCTTTAACCATCATGTAATATTAGTTTGGTGATTTTTTTTTGTTCGGCAATATTAAAACTGACAATCTTGGTTGTGAACGCCATTATCACCATCCTAAAATTTTTGTATTATGCATGATTACTCACACTACCAAAAAAAAAAAAGCATTAGAGCTGACAATAAAAAACCCTGAAATGTTTATTTTATGATTGTTTAGTGTTGTTCAATCAAACTAACCGATCATCTTGGCTATAAACATTCTTAAGAACATTTCATAACTTCTTGTATGATTATAGCTTTACTGTTCACCACGCATACACATATCATAGCTTTCACTACCAAATACTGAAATATTATTCATTATTGGTGTTTATCTTCCTTTCTACTTGGTATTTTTATTTGCATTTTTTGTTATTTTTGTTTTTAAAAAAAAATATCGTTGTTTTTATTTAATATTTTTTTGAAATACTCCTTTTAAATGTGTGATAAAATTAGATGCAATATTGTAGATATGTGCTGAAAATTCCACACTGTACCACTAATAGTGTTTCTGGAATAAAAGCGAAATTATTATTATTATTCAGGCTCCCAGAGGAACATAAGGCTTCAAGCTAGATGCCTGAAGTTTTTGTAGCACTGGTGTTTATTTTTACAGGATGGGGTCGCTAGCCTTGTGTCCAACCTTTCCTCTTTACCAGCTTTTATTATTACTGGCTTAGCGAGGTAAAGGAGTGCCTCGTCGGCCGGGTATCGAACCCCAGACCATAGGCATCGTTGGCGAGCGTCCTAATCACTGTGCCACCGACGCACAATTCAGTGTAATACGCCTAATTTATTATCAAAAAGAGTAGGGTAAATTATGTATAACAACTTACTTTCAAGCCTTTTGCACGATTAATTGCTCTCAGTGGACGTAAGACACGTGAAACACGAAGAATTTTCACCACAGATATTGTATCAATACTGAAATAGTAATTGTACACAACAAGGATTAAAATACAAGAACTTAGTCATTTGATACTTATACATACTTGTATAAAATCTGATGAACAACATCTTGTAGAAAAGAAATGAGCAACAACATCGAATGTGGGAAGACAAAATACAACACATCGTTATTTAAAAAAAGTCAATTGACAGAAATTGTTGCACTTGCTTTTCCCACTTATCGGCACTTGTCAGTAGAGCGTATCTTCTATTCAGATAAGTTCATATACAAGTCATGTAGAGAAATATAATCACTATATAACTATAGTTAAATCAACCAATACAAGAGTTAGTGTAAATGTAGAACTTGGGCACTGCATGCTTTTTTTTCTTCTTCACGTTCCCCAGTGGAACATAGGGCTGCAAGTTTCTGTAGCAGTGTTGCTAGCCTCATGCCCAACCTTTCCCCTTTACCAGTCTCACTATTGGCTTAGCGAGGTAAAGGAGTGCATTGGCGGCCGAGGATCGAACCCCGGACTATATGCATGGTTGGCGAGCGTCCTAACCACTGTGCCAAAAACGCACTAAATCCCTAACGCCCCCGAATGGGCTCGAACCACCAACCTTTTGATTAACAGCCGAACGCGCTAACCCATTGCGTTGCATGTAGTAGAATGGAATTCCATAATCGATAAGTTTATTTTAATTATCACACTGTGATGAATGCTGTTTATACAACTGGGGGAACAAGGTTTCGAGCGTAAATTATTGCCACTTATAGTCATATCAATTCAGTCATACTTTTGTCAAAATTTTTCTCATACATATATATTTTCTCTCTTTCTGTCTCTCCAAAGTACCTTTGTTGTATGTTTCTACCCTCCATATCTCTGGTATAGGCGTCGTGTCAATCCGATTGCACTTGAGAGCAGTTGACTGGATAAATAAAGCTTCAGTGATCAACCTCCCTGTCTCTCTACATAACTACATTAATTTTCAATACTCTCACCTTGTCCCACCCATCCTATTTTCTGATTACATGCAAGTGAATGCAGTTCAATGGCTGAGCTCTGATTTTTCTAGGTTATTTAACTTAGCAGGGTCAATTCTTCTAGGTCTAGCAAAATTTTTATCTACCAATAATCTAGTTAACCCTGATCTACTTACTAGTTTGACAGATGTAATTGACCCCACTCACATTCATGACATGGTGTTTGATAAATTATTTAATTTTTCTAAATTCTTTGTCAGTCTGTCTGTTTTTGACATAGAACTTTGCACCAGATGTGCGGCAGTTCAAGTCGTCACACTCCCTCCTTGTAGCAAACAAAGCAAGAGAAGAAAGTAGAAGAAATGCATAATAGAGACAGCAAACACAGGTGTGAGACAAAAGAATAGTAATAACGAAGAACAATATAGTTTGATTGGAAATCATAAGTCACAAGGAGTGGATGAATCTGCGTTGGCCATTGAGAACGGTTTTCAGCCATGTCACCAATAGTTTCCAACCATTGGTTTTTACCGTCCCGGGGACCCAATCAGTCAGGAAGTCTACACCTTCCTACGTGGCTTAGACTAACTGTTGTAGATTTCATTGACTGGTGCCATGTTTTGTTTCGACTGCCGCTAGTTCCTTTCCAGCCTGACCCTATGTCAGCTAACATTGCCCATTGTCGAGGAAGGCGATGGCTAGGCAGGCATACGTAACACATGTCCTAACCATCTCAGTCGATGTAGCTTCACCTCCCTCCTTACCTAGCACTCAACCAAAGCCAAACCTCAGTATTACTCACCTTATTACACCACTTCACACGGGAGATAGAGCACAGGCACCTATGATCAAAGACAGCTAATCTTTTCAGGTCTTTTCTAAACTGGATCTACTACATCCTTAAGACGATAAAGTTTATCTCTGAGAGAGTTGATGGGTTGGTTGGTTGGTTTTACTGTTACCCGAATTCCAGTGTCATTGAGAATTCCACTTAAGGCCTTTGACGTCATTTCTTTATACGTGCAATCAGAATGACGCAACACCACGCAACGCCTATACAGGAGATATGGAAACTGGAAACACACAGCAAAGTCAAGTTGGACAGACAGAAAGAGAGGAAATATATGTATATGACAAAATGTGAAATTGTGTGACTAAAATTCATATAATTATGAGTGGCAATAATTTAGGCTTGAAGCCCTGCCATCCAGTTGTAAATACTGCATCTATATCACTGTATGATATTTAAAAATAAATTTTTTTCAATATGGAAGTCAAAAGTTACTTGTAAATGCCAAGAAGTAACTGAATGTTTCACAAAGTAGATAGAGCATCATAAATAGGATAAGTGATCTAAGGGTTAGTAAAGGCTGAAATGTACTATTCTCTGTATGCAGGGGGAATGATGACATGCATATTCAGGTGAAAGGGATTAGTTTTATTATTTATAGAATCATTTGTAAGCTATTTTTCTACCTTATAAAGTTAAACTACGATGGACACAAAAAAAACCCTTATTATACGGTGGACACATTTACACGACTAAATTTTCTCATGGAAACATGGAAGCAAAAAACTTGATGATGCAGCAAATATACAAACACTCTTTTTTTTAAAACAATTAATCCCTTTAATAAATTTGAATAACTCATTAAGAAGACAAATTTTGTGAGATGATATCGTAATTTCGTAGTTTCTTTACAACCGCTTTACAACTACTAACATGATTAACAATAATAAAATAAAGCTCATGAAAATTCCTCAGTTAAATAAAATAAAACAAAAGTACATACTAATGACCAATCATATTTATTTAGATAGGTCATGTAGTCCAGTGAAGGCGAAGATTGAAGTCTATTCTGTCTTTTTGTACACACAGTTTCGGCTGTATGTGATTAATGCCCTCAAAGTGCTTCCATCACCTTCAGTCACCAACTTTGAATTAGAGTTATGTGAAATAATTGTGAAACAGTTATTAATATTGATTTTGTGAACTGACATTAATAAGTGTTTTGCAATGGATGATGCTGCGTCGGTGGTTCACTGGTAGAATGCTTGCCTGCCACTCGGGCGGTCTGGGTTGGTTTCCCGGCCGATGCGCTCCGCTTGGAACGCTCGCCGACCATGCACATGGTCCGGGGTTCGATACCCCGCCACCGACGCCGCACTCCTTGAGCTCGCTAAGCCAGAAAAATGCTGGTGGAAAGGGAAGGTTAGGCATGAGGCTAGCAGCCCCATCCTGTAAAAATAAACACTGCTACAGAATTTTCAAGCCACTAGCTTGAAGCCCTATGTTCTATTGGGAACGTGAACGAAAAAATTAAAATTATTAAATTAATGGATGATGCTTGATTTCTATTCAGATTAATCGCGTTGGGATTTTCTATATGATTTATTAGCCATTTTGGAACACGTTCTTTTCGACGACATTGGAACATTCTGTTGGTTTTACCTATATAGGTGTCATCGCAGTTGCAGGTGAACGTATAGATACAGTTTGAAGTAGAGTCCACAGAATTTCGTCCTTTAATCGTAGGAACAGGGATCGAAAATGTCAGTTCACAAAATCAATATTAATAACTGTTTCACAATTATTTCACATAACTCTAATTCAAAGTTGGTGACTGAAGGTGATGGAAGCACTTTGAGGGCATTAATCACATACAGCCGAAACTGTGTGTACAAAAAGATAGAATAGACTTCAATCTTCGCCTTCACTGGACTACATGACCTATCTAAATAAATATGATTGGTCATTAGTATGTACTTTTGTTTTATTTTATTTAACTGAGGAATTTTCATGAACTTTATTTTATTATTGTTAACCATGTTAGTAGTTGTAAAGCGGTTGTAAAGAAACTACGAAATTACGATATCATCTCACAAAATTTGTCTTCTTAATGCCTTATTCTTTCTTTCTTTATTTTTATAGCTTAATTCCATACGGTATTTTGGTGCAAATAGGGAATTTTCAGTATATGATATTGGTAGCCCAAATTTGGCAAGCCAACCATTTCATATGAGGTGCACGTCGACAAGTCCGGGGATTGAACCCCGGACCATGTGCATGGTCGGCGAGCTTCCTAACCACTGTGCCGCCAACGCACATTCTTTACTAGAACTTGTAAATATGACGAAAAAATCACTTTCGCTTATGAGAATGTAAATACATACCGAGAAAGAAAAAGTCATGTTTACTACTTAGTTATTTGATAATGTAAACGGATTTAAGATTTACCACGGATTGGTAAAAGTTAGAGAAGCATTGGATAAACAGGGACTACTCAACAAATGTTTCATCCCAGTTTGGGTCTCGTTGACAGGGATTCAAACGCAGAAACTTCCAGCCACTGACAGTCAACTCGGTTGCCATCCCGAGAATTCTAACTGCCACCAATTTTATGATTTTAGCACAATCACCACCAGCCGATGTCATCTGTGAGTATTTGTCCTCACTCCAACATTACACACTGTCTATTAAGTAGTAAAAACCAGACAAAAACTGAACACTAACTAACTAACTCCATTATGGATAAGATTTTATTTTGATAAATCACACATTGTTTGTTATACAGTAAGATTAACTGATGACCACGTTTCGAGCACAAACTATCATTGCTCATAACCATATCAAGTTACTCACTCACACAACTTATTTCCTGCATTTATATATATATGTGGAGGCGATTAGATATTGCAATCAAATCAGTATGATATAATTTACATTCAGAAATACGAGTGTCACAATACGAGTGTTATTGATAAATTACAATTAGATGGCAAATAAGACGACTGTTTTTGTAGTCATAATAAGCTACTTGTTAGAATGTTGTGATATGTTTGAATTGAAATAGGATTTTATGATTATTTATTATCCTCTTCTGATTTGACCAGTGGTAATAATATCTTCCATATTTCTGGTATTTGCATTGAGTCATTTCTGTTGCATGTGTTGGGTCTAGACTCGATGAACAAGGATTCCGTAATCAACCTCTCTCTCTCCATCTACCTATTATTACTTTTTAGAATTTTAACCCTCTCCCAC